ATTTATTCACATTTAGCCATTTTGCTACTTCAACTTGTGATTGCCCTGCCTCCATTCTTCCAACAGCTCTCCATTTTAAATCATCTGCTAAAATTTTTCGAAAACTCATAATTAACTAAGGATTGAATAAAATTATAATTGGACAATTCTTAGAAGGGGTAAACGACACGCCAAATAGCACACTTATAAAGACAAGCAAAAATTTGCATATTTTCAATTTTACCGAATCGAATGGTTGCGATAAATAAATTCTACGACTTAAAATACCTAATTAAATTACTTTTTAGCTTTTAGCGTTGTATATTTTAAAACATATCATTAAAAAACAAAAGTTTCTTTTTTTTTGGACACCAGTGTAGATACATAATACTCTTAAAGCTTGATACCCTGATATGATTGTTGATTGGAGATACGAAATATGTAGTACAACAACCACATCATTGACTGTATTGACTTATCCATTGATGAGCTCTACTCATCCCCAGCAGACATCATCAACAATCTCTACAAGCTTGATACCCTGATATGATTGAGTGGAGATAAGAAAGAAGAAGTTAATGTAGAACTGGTTCATCAAGAATGAGGTATCTGACTCCAGATCCTCTCAAAGAATAGGGACGCACAGCATTCGTAACAGTTCAGGAAAGGTAATTTGGTTTGAACATTCGAAGTTGTGAAGCTTAACAAATAAATTCTACTCATTACAGCGATGTGGTTGTTGCGAACTCACCTTTTTATACTTGTCCATCAGACTGGAATCATCAGTAAATCAGACTGGATCAATTTTTGTAGAGGCAGGTTTGCCACTTTCTTTATTTAGTCGAACCTCCGAAAATTGGTGGTGAGAGTACAAATTGAGGGAAAAATTGTAATGTTCACAATCCCTATATATATAAAAGTCAGTGTATATATGTATGTATGTCGGCTATAAACGTCCACAATACGTAGCTAATCTGACTGGAATTTTAACAGTATATAGAAAAGAATCTGGAAAAACTTATAGTGAACATTTCAAGTCTCTATCCCGAATATTTTTCGAGTTATTTGCAAATTTGCGTTGCGAATTTGCCCTTTCGCTCGCAAGCAGCGCCTCTAGCAGTGAAAATGGGAGGTAATATCAGCTGACTTAATGTACATGTAAAACGTGTTTCAACAGGACATCGAGAAAAATCTGGAAGAGATATTTATCGGATTTATAGCCAAGAAAATTTGAAATTGAAAGGTTCTGGACAAAAATAGCTGTATTTTATTCAGAAAATGATCATGACAATATTGCTGTATCATGTTTGATTATCAGATACAAAATTATAACGGGAACATTTTCAAAAAGCTGAGACCACGGGTAAAGCCAGTTCATTTTTAGTGTGCAGGAACAAAATTCTAACAGAAAAACATTCATTCGAGCAGAAGATACAAAGCCAGATCATCTTTCTATAAAAATATCGCTTCTCAGACACAAAGTTTGGAGCGGGACGTTTCACAAGAGGGACATACACGGCGCCAATTTATAATTGTAACGAATAGTATTTGAATAAAAACATTTAATCGGGTGAAACCCGGGCGTTGCCCGGGTCATTCGGCTAGTATATATATAAAACTCAGTGTATGTATGTATGTTTGTATGTTTGTCGGCTATACACGTCGACAATACGTAACTAATCTGACTGAAATTTTAACAGTATATAGAATAGAATCTGGAAAAACTTATAGTAATATTTCAAGTCTCGATCCCGAATATTCTTCGAGTTATTTGCAAATTTGCCCTTTCACTCGCAAGCAGCGCCTCTATCGGTGAAGATGGGAGTTAATATCAGCTGACCTAATGTACGTGTAAAACGTGTTTAACAGGACATAGAGAAAAATATGAAAGACCCAAAATTTGTAGCGGGAAGTTTCACAAGAGTGACATCCACGGCGCCAATTTATAATTGTAACGAATGGTATTTGAAAATCAAAATGATAGAATTTTCAAATATCGTTATGAAAATTTACATTTTTATATTTATATTTTAAAAACACATAAAGTTTGGAGCGGGACGTTTCACAAGGGTGATATTAACAGAACCAATTTATAATTGTAACGAATAGTATTTGAATAAAAACATTTAATCGGGTAAAACTCGGGTCATTCGGCTAGTTAAAAATAAAAAACCATTGTGTCTAACCAGCTGATGATGGTCAATTGGGACTTTTTCTCTCCACAAAAAGGGAGGGATCATGCGGAAGACCTTGGTTACAGTGAAGGCTTGCTGTAAGTTAATCCATTGAAGGAGTTGGCATTGTCCCATCTGTTGAGAAATAATGCTGGAGTACGTTCCTATCTGTTTCCTCTCGTGTTAGTGGGGTGCCGCTGCTGTGTTTGAGCAGAGGAGGTCCAGGGGAACCTATATCGGTGGATGGAACTTCATGCGACTGAGGAGATATCTTGACTCAGTTCTAGCCAGTGTTTGCCTATCTAATAACTGTCTTGTTGATGATGGCCAGGCTGATGATGGCGAACATCCCGAACCGCGTACGTGGTTAGCTTTTCTTGATTAATAAAGAAAGAGTATTTGGCCAATTCTGTAATAATTAAAAATCAACGATTAGTTAATATTTATTCCGACAGATGGTGTAAGCTATCATCAACACCTTTTAGTTGTACGATCAAGAGATACTTTTTTCTTCAATATACCAGATTATTGGTGAGAGAAGAAGGCGGCATAGAGAGCCACTCATCAAGAATTTTACGAGAATAACCCGCCCAGAAGTCCTCTTCTACGTGGTGGACGGTAGAAGCAGCACAAGTAAGGGACTGCCCTGTAGTACGGTGTCGTGAGCCCCGAGCCGCTACGGTAACCGTGAACAGGGAACTCTGAAAAGTGGCTGACTAACGGGGCAATGGCACCCTCTATTCCATAGAATGGACAAGACAGCACCACGAGAATAACAAAAGATGTTCTTGAGAGTCAGCTGAAGGTTTTGCATACAATATGTTATAGAGAATACTGCAGAAGGCGACTTCTCACAGATTGGGTTTAAAGACTCTCTGAAAGAAAAAAAAAGTAGCTATCCGAGTGTGTTGGGATAGTTTGATCTTCATCAGTGGACAGATAGGTTCGGGATGTGCCAAATTGATTGAGCTGCTTAGATACTGAATCTGCCTTCTTGCAGAAATTGTGGCATTTGCGGAGGTGACAGCTTTGATGGCCGGGGATTTCCCAGGTGTCCATGTGTTGTGAATAGTCTTCACTTGAACCTTCTCTTACTACTGAGAGCAGTGGTCGAGCATTCCAAACCTAAGCAAATAATATCTCTATATTACAATAGAAGGAATCGCAGGATATCATTGTTGGAAGAGACCAAAGGTAGACGCGACGTGTTTCTTTATTTAAAGTCTGCGAGATTACGGACAATTACGTCCTTTAACAGGCTATTAAGCGAAATCAAGAAACTAGAGAAGATACAAATTACAATAGATGGAATCGCAGGATATCATTCTTGGAAAATTACAATAGAGAGAACCGCAGGATTACATTGTTGGAAAATTACAGTAGAGGGAACCGCAGGATATCATTGTTGGAAAACTACAATAGATGGAATTTCATGATATCATTGTTGGAGAATTATAATAGAAGGAATCGCAGGATTTCATTGTTGGAAAATTACAATTGAGAGAATCGCAGGATATCATTGTTGGAATATTACAATGGAAGAAATCTCAAGATATCATTGTTGGAATATTACAATGGAAGAAATCTCAGGATATTATTGTTGGAATATTACAATGGAAGAAATCTCAGGATAACATTGTTGGAATATTACAATGGAAGAAATCTCAGGATATCATTGTTGGAATATTACAATGGAAGAAATCTCAGGATATCATTGTTGGAATATTACAATGGAAGAAATCTCAGGATATCATTGTTGGAATATTACAATGGAAGAAATCTCAGGATATCATTGTTGGAATATTACAATGGAAGAAATCTCAGGATATCATTGTTGGAATATTACAATGGAAGAAATCTCAGGATATCATTGTTGGAATATTACAATGGAAGAAATCTCAGGATATCATTGTTGGAATATTACAATGGAAGAAATCTCAGGATATCATATCTTCTATAGTTTCTTGTGTGTGTATTCACATAATAGCCTGTTAAAGGACGTAATTGTCCGTAATCTCGCAGACTTTAAATAAAGAAACACGTCGCGTCTACCTTTGGTCTCTTCCAACAATGTAATCCTGCGATTCCTTCTATTGTAATTTTCCAACAATGATATCCTGTGATTTTTTCTATTGTAATTTGTATCTTTTATAGTTTCTTGTGTATTCACGTAATAGCCTGTTGAAGGACGTCATTGTTCGAAAGCTCGCAGCCTTTAAATAAAGAAACTCATCGCGTATACCTTTGGTCTCTTCCAACAATACTCTATTCTCCATATGCTGAAGGAAAAGCTGTATAGATCCTTCCTCGGAACCTCGGATGCTTTGAGTCCTAAAAGGTGAATAAGCTAAACCACTCAGGCGCTAGTCATTCTAGCGGTGATGTAAGCTACCGTGATATAAGTGGCGTAGATAATTCAGGGCCATTCGCCCAGTAAGTAAGAACGTCGTCTGAACCAGCGGTGTTTTTCTTTATTCTTTCTTATCTCCACTCAATCATATTAGGGTATCAAGCTTGTAAAGCTTGAGACAGTCATGACTGGGTGAAGTAGAATGCATCTGCCTTTGTCATTAAGACTGGGAGCACTACTCAGTGCAGGCCGACTTAGCTTCAAAAGAAATGGCCGCCTCTGACATGAGGAACAGACGCCATGTGCAGCCGCTCCTAACATGGAGTACAAACGCGGATCATCCTGTATCCCTAAATTAGGAGTCCTTACAGGGTACTATCAGCCGGGCCAGCTGAACCCAGGTTTTTTAGTGAACTTGTTACTGCTCCCCCTCCTCCTTTTTCATCCGGGCTTGGGACCAGCAAAAGCGGAGTTAGATTTCTTCAATAGTTTTTCCTACCGCCATATCACATTGAAACACCGGTTCTATTCCGATCACCGAAGTTAAGCAATGTCGGGCCCGGTCAGTACTTGGGAGGGTGACCACTTTGTAACAACGGGTGCTGTAGGCTATTAGCATTTTTTTTTTCAGCGCCTTGGTACTTTTTTACAGTGCATTGCGGTTTTTCTGTTTGCTACGTCTATTTTTGGGCTCTAAAATCATACATTTTGGTTATTAGCCCGTAAAAACATATTCCCTCAGTAGTTAGGTGACTCGTAACTAAGGCAACAATGGACCAAGAATCCCTTTGAATGATCCCAATTGGACCCAGATCTATCATCCTCAAGGAATCTTGGAATGTTGCCTTATATATAGAAATAAAGGTAGGCTCTCCCGCGTCAAAATAGACGTTAAAACTAAGCGCTATCTATTTTATAAATCAATTTCCTCCCGGCAAAATTTCCATCAATATATTTTGGCCATAGATTTGGTCGTGCCACTTTGCCAGCTAAACACCTCTTTGGCAGATTGTGAAGATTTCATTTGATTCCTTGTGGATCTCTCTCATGGAATAAAGTCTGTCTTAGACTGACGAGGGCCATTAGCCCGAAACCATGGTCTCTAGGTGGACACTTCTCAGTTTGACAAAGCTGGTGTTGTGGTTTTGTCACCGAACTGTGTCCGCTTGTTTGCCGAGACGGTCAATAGATGGCAATTATTTTTATCGTCTATTTTGACGGGAGAGGTGACCTTTATTTTTTATCGATCAATTTTCTTCGATGGATATCGGCCACCAGCCCTGTGTGGCCTGACATTATAGTCTATGAATATAAATTGAGGGTCAAATGCAATTCCAAGAGTCTAGCATCAGTATCAGTATAAAAAGAAAACCGAAAATGCAATATTACAACGGTATGGTACATGGATGGGAATCGAACCCACAGTTTTTCGCTTACCGGGCAGATGCCATGTCCACTAGGCTACCCTGGACAATCTACAACGGTATTAAACTGGCAAAACAGTCGGGAGGGTTCACCCTTGATGAACCAGATCCTCCCATTATTTTATTATTACAGTAAGGACAGTAGAAAATTGATTTATTTTAAAAAGAAACATAAGCGTCAAAAATAGTTCAAATTTTTAATAAAAGATGGCGCGGTAATGCATTATATTAATATTGTCACGGTAATGAAGGTGACGTTTGGGTAGAATAAAATAATAATTTATTAGATGACTTTAAATAGTTAAATAGTTGGAGGGATAAAAAGAAATAGAGATAAACTAAGTTAAATGGATAAAAATAATGGAAAATTAAGGAAGTAATGTCAGAGACCCAAACGGCTGGCGATCGGCTACACTCCTCAAGATGGCGACTATTGTTTACAAACTTCCCGCCTAGCGTGCCCGCCATCTATCGGAGCTTAGGTACATAACGCTTGCCGAGCTGACAGCGCGCGCCACCTATCGGGGCTTAGGTACATAACATTCGCCAAGCTGCCGATGTATTATTTACAGTTACAAGCTATGTACATTTTTGGTTATGACAATATTGTTAGGAGAGAGGCGCGCGGCTCGAGGTGGTTGCTCACGTGTCACTGTTCTAAACCTACTTGTTTTGGCTACATCTTTTCCCGTGAACTTAACGGTAACCTTTTACAACTTATTTATTCTTATTAAATTTCATGTATAATTATTTTCACATAATTTTGTTTTGTATAATTATTTCCCATACTTTCCTATCGTTGAATTTTCATACTTTTTGTTCTTGAAGATTATTTAAGACATTTAGTTAGAAGGTGTTCTTTTTAAAACCATTTGTTTGTGAATAAACGTAAAAAAGGCTTCTCGAATGTTTTATCCCAGTATATCAGATCACCAGCACAACAATATTATGTTATATAATGTTATATATACTGGTACCTGTTATCTCAGTTCCTATCCCCCCTGATCCTCCTCTACATCCTGGCTCTCCTGGCCTCACCTGGCGATGATCCCCTGGCCACCCATCTCCAGGCCCCTCCAACTGTGCTTTGTATATATTCCGCTTTATGCGTCCATCGGGGCTCAAAAATCATTCATTTTGGTTAGCAGCCCCGTAAAATAAAGATATTTTCTCTCCCAGTTCCTCGTTCTTTCACCTGTAGGGGCTGTCCAGTATGATCCCACAGCAGACCATGAATTTGGTCGGTCTCTCTCCAAATCAGAATACGTCCGTAATCAGGCTCAAGACGTGACTCATCAGTAAAAGTTCCGAAGATCTTTTGTTGATTGGAAGTTGATTCAGAAAAAAGACAGCCACATCAACCAATGGTTTAACTCCCTACGTTTCAATGACTTCCTGTCATTCTCCTCAGAGGAATGCGACAGTTGTTGTGTCTAATGAAGAACCTCAGATGTCTCCGTGCATCTCTATCACAGCAATGTCCACTATCTTGGGTGTGTAAAGCTGCTGCTCTGGGTCCATGTCAATTTTCTGTTGTTGTTGTCGTGTCCAATGAAGAGCCTCAGATGTCTCCATACATCTCTATCACAGCAGTAGCAATGTCCACTATCTTGGGTGTGTAAAGCTGCTGCTCTGGATCTATGTCAAAATGTGACAGTAAAAGGAACATGAACACGTTGACCATCAGTTTACATGAGGTGTTCGATATATCAGTTCAAACATCTCATCCTATAATGAGGCCCGAGTAGAATACTTATCTTTAACTTTCATACATAAAGCCTTCTCTCCTCTAGTCGTCTTGTTTTCGTGAAGTATGGGTTCCTGATGCAGAGGCTATTTTCATGCAAATTTGTTTAGTCGTCATGTTCCTATGGCGATTGAGTTTTAAGTGTTACGAAGAAATCTTCTTGGGCTGTTTTCGATATTTTCGGACATGACTGGATCTTCGAACAACTGTTTCTGACTCTTAAAACTGCTTCCAAAGACATTAACAGATAGCAAAAATTCTAGTGATACAACAATGTCTAAATAAGACAGTTGATCCAATTCTTTCAATAAGCACCGTAAATGGAAGACTGTATAAAGCAAGGTTGTAATATCGCAGACTACAGAGGGTGTTCACACTTATAGGAAACAAGTTTTATTATAAAATATTAAAAATTAACACCATATTTGAAATTTTTCAAATGTTCTATTTGAAAGCCTTTTTGTTTATTTACAGAACGGCACCTGATTTTCCACGATAGCAGACACTTTCTGATCATGGTCATACTCAAAAATCCCATTCTTCCTTTACCACTTTCCAGAGCTAATCTTACCTATTTGGACATAATTAAAATATGCAAACAAGATGATATCAACATTTCTAAAAAAGGTATTTATAATATTATTCACGACAAAAATATCAAGTTTTTATTCACAGCACCTACGGAGAAATGGACAAAAGATTATCACCCTATATCTGTGAGAACCCCTGCAACTGTCAAAAAAGTGAAAAAATATATTACAAAAGAAAATCCTATGCCACAAAGAGATATAGCCAAATTAATAGGAACATCAGTGTCGACAATAAATAAAATAATAAATAAAGATTTAGGCCTAAAAGCTAAAAAAAACATGCGGTTCACAAATTGTTTCAGAGCCATATTCGTCAGCGACACAATATCAGCAGATATTTTTATTAAAATTTCTTGGCTGCTGATAGATGGAAATTTATTGTTACATATGACGAAGCATGGGTATATTTAACCGATTGCGACAGAAAAAGAGCTATATACTATCAAAAAAGGGTGGGAAAATCTAGGCCAATTTGGTTGAAGGAATGTGCCGAAAGTTACCCCAAAGGATTTATGGTGGCATGCGGTATATCATATGAAGGAAAATTAAAAATAAGAAAAGTTGAAAGAAATGGCAAAATAAACTCGGAGTACTATCAAAACAACATTTTAAAACCTATATTTTTAAATGATATTCCTTCTATCTATGGAAAACAGAGCAACAAAGTCTGGTTTCACCATGATAACTCCACAAGTCATACCTCATCTTCAACCCAAGCTTATTTGGGAGATCTAAGGCAAAGAACAGGAATCAACACTATTCCAAAGAAAAGAACCCCTGTAAAATCTCCTGATCTAGCCCCGATGGATTTTTGCATTTTTGGATGCCTTGAAAGAGCACTTGGAAAGAGACATCCTAGGACAATTGAAGGTCTCTGGAAAGTGGTAAAGGAAGAATGTGATCTTTTGAGTATGACCATGATCAGAAAGTGTCTGCTATCGTGGAAAACCAGGTGCCGTTCTGTAAATAAACAAAAAGGCTTTCAAATAGAACATTTGAAAAATTTCAAATAGGGTGTTAATTTTTAATATTTTATAATAAAACTTGTTTCCTATAAGTGTGAACACCCTCTGTATTTGTTAAGGTTTCTGTTTGTTATAAAAATAAATCGACATTCTTGTTTATCAAGTGGGCGGAGGTTAAAATATCAACCATGAAATTCTATTTGAAGGAATAAGTTACTTTATTAGCCTTACACATAGCATTGAAACGTTGATAGCACCCACTTGATAAGACTTCCATTATCTCCTAGATCCATTAGATTGTATTAATGTAAACCAAAGCAAAATTGGAATAATGAAAAGAATTCTATTTTCTTTAGTGATTAATCTCGTTTCAATTTAAACGAAATAAGCATTGTATGGATACGTAAAAGAGAAAGAAATATAGAACAATAGAGCTTTTGCCCCATTATATTGAATAAAAACAAATTTTATTCAATATGTAAATCTATCGCTTTTATGTTTTAAGATCAACCTAGATTAATAAAATAAATATATATATATTTTTGAAATATTAAATGATTAAATTTATTATACATATGAAAAGTCATATATATTGTGGATTCTTTAATACTCTTTATTTTTTAAATATTTAAAACAAACTATTTTTTCATTGATAAAAACTTTTATTTAATAATAGAACACAACAACACACATGTATTTACAATTTATACACAAATCAGCAAGTTTACAATGATAGTAATAAATAGGAAAAGTTTTAGATTAAGATTATATAGAACAATGGTAGAAAAAGGTTCATTATCTAACTTAACAATATGTTAAGTTAAAGGATTTGGGGGGTAAAAGTGATATTTTTCTAAATTGGAGGGAAATATTACAAAGGGAAAGGTGCATGCGTGCAAGTGTATAATATACAATAGTTTATATAATTTAAAGTGTGTGTGTGCATTTTATACCATTTTTCATAATAAATTTTGAGCATCAAGATATATTTAAAAAAGGTCATTTTCCAATATTTCGTTCACACAAAATTTTAAAATTGAGAAAATATTCATCGCAGATGATAAATTTAAACTAGTGTATATATGTTTTTTTATATCCAAGACTTGAAAATAGAAATTATAATCTAATATTTTAGGTTAATATTTATATAATTAAGAGGGAAATGTATTATTTTTTAAAGGGATATTTTGTCGCTATATTAGCTTCTACGGCATATTTTTGTTGTATAAAAGTTTACTAATAAGCTCTTATTTTATTGTAAATTTAAAATACATAATATATATTACAACATATCGTTGTAAAATTATGTATATATGATTGTTTTTCTTCAGGATGGCATATATATTTTTAGAGTAAATTGATGAATTATTCAAAATGTGTTTGTGTCTACGTTGTTCGTCTAAAATAGAGAAATGGTAATATTTCTATAATATATAAAAAATCAGGAATTTTGTAAATAGCTTTTAAACGTTATTTTATTCACTAAATATAATTTCACATTTTTGAAATTTATTAATCGATATTCTAATATTTGTTTTTTTTTTCTTTTGACTTATCTCTCACATTTATTGATATTTTTATTATAACATATAATACATCTAGTTATGCCTAAACTTTTGTCATTTAGGAGGAAAAAAGGCCTGTTTTGTCAAAATTTGACATTAAATGCTGATATATGAGAGCGATGAATATCAAACAAACGAAATTACAATCATGTACATATCACAATAAGATGTTCAGTGATG